AGCTATCTGTAGTTTCTCTCTTGACCGTGAAAAAGCAGTTGAAATTTGATATTTCAATAGTCTACAAAATAGTCTAATGACATTGTTTGAGCTAAATTATGAAAAGAAGGAATTTTCTCATCAAGTATATGCTTTCAACTTAGATTTCTTTGCAGCTTTAAATTAAATTACAGATTTAAGTATTAAATTATAGATTTGAGTACAAAATAGTCTTCCAGTTTGGTGCAGAAAAAAAAGTCTAGAAAATTGTTGCGTTTGTTTCAGAGTACTTATGGATGTTCTTCAATTTCGGACATAGTTGCGTTACATCTCGTTAAGATGAAGCAGAATAGTTTCGCGTTTCGCATTTTGTAATTTTTTAAATAATGTAAAATAAAAATTATTGTATTTATCATTTATTGTTGTATCCAGATTTATTGTATTTGGTACTCTAAATAAATAGGAGCATTCAAATTTATTATTATAGTTGGTTATATATTTCAATTTATTGAATATTGTTATTGTTTAGGTATCGTATATACAATAGCAGCTGCTTCGGAATATGGTACACTAGACGACAATTGAATAAAATTCATGAAAAACATCCAGATGGACATTCCACTATAAAGTCATTCACCTATGGAGGTATTAATATGTAAATGTTTGCATGACGCAAAACGCAAAACAATTGTATTTCTTTATTCAAAAGATCAAGTAAAATAAACACAACTGAAGTAAACTTTTCTGCTATGCTTAATTGCTACACCTCGAATAGTGCCAGTTCGTCACGATAAATTTAGGCACCAAGTCTTTCATCATGTTTATTCTTGATAACTTTGACTAGATCTTTAAGTCTGGAAAAATTATTATCAAAGATTCGTCTTAAATTTTTGCATCTATTAGTCACGATTTTTTTGGCTTCTCATTTTCTGTAATTTCTTGATGAGTATTGTTGTAATGGACGAAATAAGTTTATATTTAACAGAACTGCAGTCTTATTTACACCAAAACTTTGTTTTGAGATTTTTTAAGAACATTAGTTCTTGTTATTTCTACAAAAGATGCCTTAATGAACTGTTTCATTTCTAGTCTTTTGTGTTTAAATCAGCCTCCACTCCTTTCATTAGAGCAGCTTTGATTATATGTAAGAAGAAATGTAGTTTGCTGAGAGATCACAAGAATATATTGTGAATATAAAAAATTCATTTTCAACAGATACTTTGAGTAATATATGACATTACAACTGGAAACTAGTTATGACTTTAGTATCTTTCAGATATTACTGTTAAAGCGGTCTCACAAAATAGTGACAACTATAGCTACTTGGTGATGTGCGATGCAACAGATGATTGTGTTGTTATTGATGTTGGAGATGCGTCACCGATACTGCAGTGTTTGAGTAATGAGAATAAAGTACCACAAGCAGTTCTTGTCACTCATAAACATTGGTATGTATTGCACATTAATACAAAATCATGAAATGTTATTGAAGTATTAAGTAATTTTGCACCATTTTATCTCCTATTGCAGGGATCATTGTTACGGCAACAGAGAACTCAAAAAACACTATAAGAAGCTGAAAATTTATGGTAGCGAAATTGATCGACCTTCTGGCGTTAACACGTAATTTATCATATTTTTCAATGTCATTGCAAGTTCGAGAAAAACGTAGCAGGCATTGATTGCTATGAATTAGTGAAGCATTTTGTGTGAGCAGTTTACTCATTTTCGACTAATATTTCTGAAATAAACTGAAACTTTATGTTGTTGAAAAACATTAAATCACAAAACAAGTTACGTGAATATTTTTGACTTCAATTTGTCCAGTGAAATGCTTGCATTTATCTTATAAGTCAGTTTGGTTTGCTTCATTTTTCAGTTATATTCGAAACCATACTCTGATTCAGCTTGGCAGGTTGAATTTTGAAGCATTACATGTTCCTGGGCATACAGCTGGTCACATGATTTATGTTTTACAATTAAACGATAATCTGAAGTGCTTGTTTACGGGAGATTTCTTGTTTGTTGCTGGAATAGGTGAGCTTGTGTACATAAGAGATTTATCAACGCTTTGTTCCGCATATCTTACAATTTTATTAGTAATGAAATTAAGTAAAATACAATGTAATTATTCAGGCAAAGTCTTTGAAGGAACGCCATCACAGATGATTAGATCGTTGCTTACATTAAATGATTTTGCATCGGATACAGTTATATTTCCTGGTCATGAATACGCAAAACTCAATTTAGCCTTTGCTTTGACTCTGGAAGGAGATAATGAAGCACTAAGAGCAATGTTCAAAATAGTGCATGAAAAACGAGGCGATCGTTTACCCATCGTAAGTTTGCAAAATTTATTGCAGATATTTTCAACATTTCATAAGATGTAAAGTTATTGTGATATGAAATGAAGAAAGCAGAAAGTAATAACTAAATATTATTAAAATTGCTATTAGAAGACAAGTTTTGTATTGATTTTTATTTAAGGTTTCTTATCTTTTGAACCGCAGTCATCCAAAAAGGACATTCATTCAAGGAAGTTAATTCTGTGAAATATTTAATGCAGTATGTAAAAATACCATTTTTAGATGTCAAATCCGAAAATAACCTATACATTTCTTTATTTCTTGGTATTAAGAACAAAATCTTAATCATTTTTTATTACATTTTGTTAGAATGAGAAATAGATTATCAGTCGTTGTTTTTTTGATAAATTATAAGGATCTGATATCATCTTAAATATCTAGTAGTACTTTCATCTTAAATACCTAGTAGTACTTTTATCTTAAATATCTAGTATTTTTTAATTTACCTTCTACCGAGAGGAAAAAAATTATTATTCAAATATTACTTCATTTATGGAGATTTTTGGAAGAAAGAATTTCTAAAAGAACTCTGAACTTTATTAAGTTTAGCAGCTTTAATTGTTTATTGTTTTCTTTTATATTATAAACTTTTTAGCCTGTTAATCTTTACAGAAAGCGAAGCATGTGTTAGAAAAGTGGTCATTATATAGTGGATTGTTTAAAGTTTTTGCACATTTATGAAGTACTAGAAGTTTTGCACATTTATGAAGTACTAGAAGTTTTGCACCTTGGATTGAAAATTCGTTAATTCGCGTTGCCAAGTTATGCTATATCCATTTAGAATTAAAATTGTTAGCTATTAGCTGCGATTATCAGTTTACACTCACTCAGTTGTTAGGAATTCACTATTTACTTATTGGTACTCAGCGGTGATTCCATGCATGAAGTGCTCTAGAAAACTACCAATTGACATTGATTTTTGAGAATAGTAAGCAACTTAAAAGAGAGCAAAAAAACATTTAAACACATCGCTAATCTCATCTACCATTCATTGAGGTATAAATTTCAATTACTCTTTTCTGTGTTAATGTTCCGATCGTTGAGCAACAAAGTTATTTGCTGTCAATGGTTTCCTAGTTTGTTATAGCTACCGTGTTTACCTTCAATATGTAAACAGAAAATATTTTTGCTATAGAAATAATGCTTTTTACCGCTAAGATCGAATTTCATTCCATTAAGTGAAATTTGATTAGTTTAAATTCGATAAAAAAGCAGAAAATAATTTCTGCTTTATCGTACTCATAGAATCAGTGTGCTACTTTTAAATATTTAGTTGGTAATGCTTTCAGAAGAAGTAAATTAATTGAAAGCATTATGGTTTTGTCAAAAGCGTATTACAATAATAAGTATACTCTCATAAATTCAATTTTAAATTAGCTAGCAGCCTTTATTCGTATTGTTTGAATTGAATAAGTCTAATTATGTTTTGTAAGTACTGTTTTTCCTTTTTTTTGTGTATACGCAATGAAATATAATGGCTTGTTAAAACAATAAATTCATTTTGTGACTAGCAATGAAATAATGTTGGAGCTTGCAATTAACTTATACTTTGTATACGAAATCTATTTTCTGAGTCGTTTGGAGATAATAATAATAATAATAATAATAATAATAATAATAATAATAATA